ATGAAGGCGGAAGAATGCAGATAGCCCGAAGAACCTCGTCCTCAAAGGAACACTTTGACACACGCACGCGGCTCTTGTCCTACTTGAATAGTAATACCACGCACCAAAAACCCACCCTCGGAATCCGTTCGTCGCGGAAGGCAAGAAACCAAAACTCTCCGAGATTTCCGCCGGGGTGCAGAATCAACCCGACAAGCCTGGCCATATTATCCGCAGACAACATTTCAAATCATCAAAGCTTGTCCTCTTTTTTCCCCTTCCCCATCTCCTCAATCCCACCCACCCGGGCCCGGGGCCCCGGACCGCAAACAATGTGCGGAAGCCGAGTGGGGGGTTCTCAACGGCGGACCCGTATTTCCGAATCCGGAAAAGAAAGAGAACAGGGCAGCAGAAATCCCATTTCGAGTGTGCTCTCAAACTTCCGTGAAACATCGCACGCCATCCGCTCTTTTGTTGGATATTTCGCAGACATTTCAAATTCGCGCAGATGAACTTATTGAGAGAAGAAGAGAAAGAGAGAATCCAAGGGGATGGAACCGAACCTCGGAACTCCGAGGTAATTACCACCATTCTGGATCATTCTGGATTTCGGAAACTCTCAATCTACACACCCGCAGGAACGGGGACACATGTCACCCCAACTCCGCGCGGCATTCAACAGGAAGTCAAAAGGGAAGAATGAACGAGAAGGTGGCACGCCGCTCCTGCTATGCCCGGCATTCCCGCTGACGTACACCACACCATCTCCAGTGGGAGAAAAATCTTTTTTACTTCACGCCCCCCCCCCCCCCCCAAAAAAAACCAGCATCTTCACGTCCTAGAATTAAGTGAGGCTTTCTGAAGTTCTCACCCGTGCTCGCCCGGAGGGGGTGTGAATTCCGAACAGCGGGCGGTTCTAGAACCTCATACACCTCCCGGAATTTTGGCATACTAAATTCAATCTCTCCGCAGGGACGTCAGTGTTTGGAAAAGGGATAGGATTTGGCTAGAAATTTCTTCCGATCATCTACGCTATCAATAATGCATTGCAGTATCGTCAAATCTTCAAAGATCTCAACAAATCTCCAAATAGCTAATCTCTCAGACCGCTCACCAGAAGACGAAAACGTGGCCAGCCATTAGAAGAGAGATCCATTTCGATGTGAGAAGGGTGCGTCTAGAAGTAGAAGAACAGCATACTTCCCAACAGCGATGACGCCAGCCCAGGCACCGCCCAGGCACGCCGCATCAAAGAGTTCAGACGAAAAAGTACGTGGAAAGTGGGAGGGCCCGCCGGGTTCGCCGAGGTCGACTCGCGCGTTTCTTTCACACGCATCTCACACATCCGAACCTCACATTGGCCACCGGGCAAACACGACGCTGGGAAGAACTGACTAATTCTCGAACCGGAAGCAACTTCCTTCGTGGTGGAAATCCCCGGATCGAATAGGATGTAATAGAGGCCAGTTGAGCCATAGTTTCTGTAGGTCCCTGGGGGAAGGGTAGTCGGCAGATTTCATGCTGGATAGTGTGGCGCTGCGTGAGCCAGGCCACCACCCAGCGGGATCTACGTGGGTAAAACTTGGCCTCGTCCAGGCGCTTCCGCGGGAGTGTTGCAGATCTTCCCACTTCCGCCCGTTTTGCTCCACCCCGTAGCTGGCAGTCTCCTTGTGAACGGAATGCTTATTTCTCGAAATCCGAGGTGCTTGCTCGTTTGGACCCGATCGATGAGGAAAGCCAATTTCTCCTATTGGTGAGAATGGTAGTTGAAGCTTGAGATCACAGCAGCCAGTAGATTAAGAGAACAGTTTTCAAGAACCACAAAGCATCGTTATTTCATCAACACTTCTATGTAGCAGGACTATAGACAAATTCCCAACGTATCCACAGGATATCATGTAAAGGATGGAATGCAATGATACAAGAGAGAGTGAGTAGCAAGCAATGAAGCCAGAACTCAGTCAGTTTGGACTGTTTAACCCCCCCGTTCGACGGTTGTTAGATCGCAGCACCAATGCCCCTGGCAAGGCTACTCGATAAACCCAATCCGTCGACACCGAAATATGTAAATGGCGACCTTCTTCCCTCCCTGCTGCGTAGCCGTGCGCAAATTACTTGTCCGATGCTCGGAAAAAAGTGCGAAACCACTTTAGGCCTTGAAGTCGCGGGCGGAGCGGCGCTCGGAGCGCTTCTTGAGGTTGAACTCGACGGCGCGCTTGCGGGCGGCGGTGGACTGGGTGAAGGCGACGGAGCCACCGAAGGGACCGGCGAGGGCGGCGTTGCGAAGGCGAGCGACGCAGACGTTGCTGGCGCCACCGACATTGGCGTCGCAGGTCATGCCAGCGGGCATCTGGACCTTAACGGGGAAGTCCATGGTGGAGGCACCGGAGAGACCGCCGATACCGATACCGGGGACGTTCTGGGTGACCTCGGCAGTCTTGAAGGCAGTGGGGTCGGTACCGCCGGAGGTGCCATCAATGTCAGCCTTGAGGGGGCCAGCACCGTCCTGGTTGACCTGGTGGAAGGTCATGGAGATGGTGCCGTCGTCGGCGGTGGTGGGCATGCCCTGCTGGGCAGCCATACCGGTGGCAGCCTTGACACCAGTCTCGACGGTACCCTTGGGGGTCTTGGTGCCCTTGCCGGCCTGGCGGGCGGCGATGTTGGCGTAGCGGCGGGCGAGGTTGGCCTCGTGGATCTCACGAGCAGCCTTGGTGGCGGTTGTGTTGCCGGCGGCACCGTTCATAAAGGTTGCCATCATGGCAGCGGCATCGACGGGACCACCGCCCTGGGTGCGGCCAAGAGCGGAGGCCTTGGCAGTGCCGAGCTCGCGGTCACGGATGATGGAGGTATCGGCCTCGGAGCCGCAGCGGGGAGAGGCGCAGTCACGAGGAGTATCATCGATCACTGGAAACTGTTAGTAGGAGCTCTTTGTGTCTTTTCGATGTGGTTTGATGACTTACAAGAAAGACCGGGAAGGTTGACACCGTTGGCACCCTGAACACCGTCGATGACACCGTGGGCAAAGACGTTGGTGGCAGCGAAAGCCGCGAGGAGGAGAGCTGAGCCGTACTTCATTTTGGCGGTTGAAAAGATTGGTGAAAGTTGAGTAAAACTAAGAATGTGTACTATTAAAGTGTAAAAGGCCGTGTAGGAGCTCCGGGCTCGTGTCGGAAAGAAAGGCAGATGAAAGAAGGCTGAAGTGAAGATGAGATGCTGATGAGAAGGGAAAAGATGAAAGTTTGACCGGACATGCGAGTGATTCTTATACAAACTTGTCGATACTCTGGATGACAGGTCTTGGACAGTCTTGGGAGACATTTGATGGGGCTTGGCAAACTACGGGCCCATCTCCCAAGGCCAGGGATTGCGGCCGTTGCGTCGTTCTCCTGAGTGAAGCATCTTGCCGCTGACTTCTCACGAAAGATCAGTTGAAGCATTGATCTGACGACTGGACGACGCAGGCTGTGTGCACCAGCAAAGACGAGCTTTCCAAAGATGCGATTGGTTTTCGATCGTTTCGAAGGGGTTTGCGGGTCCTGAGCGATGGCCAGGCGAGGGAGAAACGCCACGCGCCAGGAAGTTACATAGACCGAGTCCAGTTTCCCTCCGGCAAAGACGGCGAGAATGGATCATGCAGGAACAAGCTATTGGTGATCTCGGACCCGATTGGTAGATCTCTGAAAATCATGGTTGTGGGGAAGCGAGGAGGCTCTCTTCAGGAGTAAGGCTAAGGAGTCTCCACGGTTGTTTGGGGCTCGGCGTCGATGAGGGCGACGATGATGTCGGACAAGGTTTAGCGGCGGGAGCGTTCCTGGGAAGGACAAGGGCCATCCCATGTCACCCTGCAAAAGATTTGAGAACGACGCTAGGATGGTGTAGATCCTCAAACGTGAGGCGTGTGAGGTCGCTGGTCCTGACCAGCGAGCTTGGGCCAGATACGCCGCTGACTGATTCTGATGGAGGTTGAGACGGGCCCAAACACCACGGAATTCGCGAGAGAAGCGTCTCCATTCGTGCTCAGGAAGCTCCGGGAGGCAAGTGGGCGCCCCTCAGGTATCCATACTCCGAGTACGGGAGAGCGTCGAGGCCATGCCACCATGCCTTGTTGGGTAAGGGCCCCGGATCTCTCGACACAACTCGACTCACCGTGGCCGGGTTCCACTCAGAGGCGGAAGGACACATGAGGTAGAAGTTGAGAGTGCGTAGGCAGAGATTCTATCCGTACACAAGGTAGATAAGACTCCGCTTTCGTTTCGGTCTTCGGAAAGAAGACGGATAGACTTAGATTGTGGTCCCTTTCTCCATAGGGAGCTGGGCCGATATTACTCATGAAAGTTAGATGGCCTGCGCCCGTGGTGGTGGGATGTTGATCAGAGGATAGTTCACGACAAACTTCGAACCGTCATCGAAGAGACGTGAACGACGTGACATTGTGACATTCCCAGCCGGCCGTTGACATGGCTTGGCAGGACCAGTAGGCGGGACGAAAGCTCGGCAATGGGATGCCGTCTCGACTCGAGTTGTGACAAGCCTTCGACGAGCCGATTGACAGCCCTTGGCGAAACTCTAGGCAAAGAGAGGCACGAACTCGGACGTCGGAGGAATTCCATGTTTCGTCCACGATGCGCACGGTTGTTTCCCCCTTTGCCCTTCCCCCTCTGCTCTCTACGCAGTTTAGCCGACCGAGGGCCCCGGCAAGGTGGACAAGGTGGACAAGGTGGTGTAGTCGAACTCGACGGTGTGAGGGACTGAGGAGGGGGATCTGCCGGTAAATCCGCTGCGCAAGAAAGCAAGCATAACCAAATGGGGATGACGTCGATCGGCGGATATGCTTGTTCTGAGGGCTGTGCAGGCCACCTAGCTCCCTTTTGCGACACAGGTGAGAAATCTGCAGCCTCGATGGGTCGCAATCTGAGTTTGTTTAGTTTTGGTGATCCCCAGACCTCGACCTGGTCATGGTGGGTTCCATCTCGCTTGTCTCATGAATTGTCATTGCTGCGCGCTCGTCGGGTTTGGAAGCCATGCTGATCTGTGAACTCCTTCGCGGCATCATCGCATTCTCGCTTTCGGTGTCTAGACGGTCTTTTTCATCGAAGATCACCAGTGTTGAGGCTCCCCATCGATCAGTGCAATTCTTCCACGATATGCGGATGAGTTTCGTCAACCAGATCGTGCTTATTGCTTCAAACCCGGCCCGGGTTTTCAGATACACAAATCTTTCCAAGCTCATAGTGGCAAGTTGGAGAACTAGATCGTTGATTTCAACGCGTCAGTCATGCTGTACGCGTACCATGAACCCCAAAGTCCGGGTCGGTGTGCTCGACGATGATCAGGGTAGCCCGGCCAAAGATCTCACAAGGATCGGGAACAAGAAGTGACCGAGCCATTCTACCATGAAATGGACATACTCTGGAAGACGACTGCCGGGAGCACGTTAAGGTTGTCTAGCTGCGTGCAACACACAAACGGAGCTACCGGGTAGAACGGGTCCATCGGTGGAGGCTAGCAGGACAAATAAGACGAAGGGGGCCTCCTTTGGCCGTTGCTAGCATCCCATTGTCACGATCCGAGGTCTTCTTGCCCGTAAGGTTGCGTGTCTTGGCTTCGTCCGAAGTGCGAAGAGCACTGCGCCTCGAAATTGCTTCAATGAGACGGAGACCAAAGTGGTGAAGGGACGAATAGCGCGAATTCTGATTCAGTTGCGACGATTTCCTGACAAAAGGTGTTGAGCCTAGTGAATACCTTGGTTGAACTAGACCCTGTTCAACTTTCGGTAAGGAACCCATTTTCGCAGTGCGGCATAGGGATCATCGTCCAGATCCCCTTGCTTTGGAGCATCATAGCAGAGGAAATATCGTCAAATGTGAGCCGTGCATGCTTTTTCGTAGGCGCCTAGACGACAAACGCGTGTGCCTCGTCTCGTTGTCAACGCTTGCCCGCCAAGAGGGACGTTCTTCATAAGTTCAGACTGTCATGAAGCTAGAATCATCCCGAGATGTATGGATGTTCTTGAGCAAAGTCTCGATGCAGCCCGAACGACTGTAGACACTTGGGATTACCACCAAGCAGAAAGTATCGTGAACATGGTCGCAACCTGAACATAGCCAGAGTCTGTGTAACCTCAATATCTGCAGGCGGACCACAGCAAGAAGGTGAACCACGTGCGCGAACGAAGATGATGCCGTGATGAATTTTTCAAGAACAGCAGTGACCGAGGTTGTCGAGTTTGAGGGTTGTAGCTGCAACAATGTCTCTCGTGACGTTGTTCGGGGAAGAAGATCACATTGCCGTAGAGGGCAGGAGGAGATTGCAGCCACATAGAGCTGCAGATGGCCCCAGCGAATAAGGTCAGCAAGTGTGGATGCCAGCTGCCCACCAAGAGCTTCTCCCCTGAACGACCCCTGCCACTACCGGCGTTAGCGCCTTTGCAGCCCCCAGTGGCCCCTTCTACGCCTGCCGTGCGCCTGCCGTGCCCTGATGACTTCCGCCACCCGCCCCTTTTGAAGCCTCCCGTGCCGAGACCGTCATTCGTCAACCTCCATGTTTCACTTAACGACTAAAGCAGGCCTCTTTTCTTCAATTCTTCTCACGGCAGCCAATCCACCCTCTCCAACAACAATATCCTCCAACAAGAGAGGTGTGGCGCATGAAGTTGGCAGCCATGGGCCACAAGGGACCAAGCATCATTGACCGAGGAGGCCTTCGAAGCGTTGAAATGCCGGCCACATTGACTCTATCCCGTTGCCAAGAAACCGATAATCGTTCTTCTATTCCCCTCACCTTTGTTCCCAAGCGTCGATGGCAAGTTTAAATGCCCATACATGCGTTAGCTTATGGCCATGAGTTCACAGGAGCTAATCCAACTGACTGGTCGATGGATGTGGCAAAGCTGCCCGTCTGGACAGGCATCTCAAGCCTTCGAGAACCCCTCTCCGTCTTAATCCCACCTACCTGATCTCCAGGTTACGCCATGACCCAATCACACGAACACGAGCCGTCACTTCAATGGCAACAGTCCGCAGAAACATGGCTCTTGGGTGCCATCGCTCACATGTCGGACCGTTCCATTATGAGGGGTCATTCAGCTCTAGATCAACACGCGCTTCCAAATTCGGTCTGTTGGCCTCCCAAGGTCTTCGTCCAGAGTGTTGGCAGATGTCCGATATGACTTTTGATTCGCTAACCCGTCCGAGATGTCACTTTAAGCTATCGCCAGACCCCTGACGGCTGAAAAATTGCTGTGCTTGATTACCTTGATTATATACTAGCTGGTGGAAACCTCAAGAAAATGACGATCCTGATTCCTCCGTCTGTATCCGTCGCTGCCTTATCACTATGCGCGTTGCTTTCTTCCTGCCGGCCTTCGTAGGCGTTGTCGCCGCGGCGGCTTGTAACGGCAACGACGCTCTCTGCGCAAAGAAGTATTCTGACGTGACGTTTGTCGGATCCCACAACAGTGCCTTTGTTGGCATCACTCCGGCCCACAATCAATATGTGTCGGTAACGGACCAGCTCGATCTCGGCGTACGCTTCCTACAAGCTCAGACCCAGAACAAGGACGGACAGATCCAGATGTGCCATACGGACTGCGCTCTGTTAGACTCGGGGCCCCTGTCCAAGTATCTCGAAGAGATAGACACTTGGATGGAGGCGCATCCGCGTGAAGTGGTCACCTTACTTCTCACTAACATTGACGCAATGCCGGTCACTCAATTTGGCGACACTTTCAAGAGTACGGGGTTGGATAAGTACGTCTTCAAGCCTGGGGAGAAAGTGGCTATAGACCAGTGGCCTACACTTCAGACTTTGATTGATGACGGGACGAGACTGGTCGTTTTCATGGGTATGTCTCTAAGCATCTTTTGTAACTTATGGGCAGTGACTGAGTACGACAGACTATCACGCCGACACGAGTAAAGTCGACTACATTCTAGACGAATTCCAGTACTACTGGGAGACTCCGTTTGGGGAGACGAATGCGAATTTTCCCAACTGCAACATCGACCGGCCGCAGGGTGTCGATCCCAATGGCTACATGTATCTTGTCAACCACTTCCTCGACATTGAGCTCTTCGCAGGCATTAAGATCCCCAATCAAATTGAAGCGCCAAAGACAAATTCCTTGTCGTCCATTGACAAGCAGGTCAACTTGTGCAGAGGGATGTGGGGAAGGACAGCGAATGTCGTTTTGGTAAGTCTCCCTCTTTTCGGACACCGAGTTGGTCGTCTTAGCATCGCGTCAATATCTACTTTGTGTAAGGCTGACTGAGAAAAGCTCGACTGGATCAATATCGGCGAGGCGATCAAGGCACAGAGCCAATACAATGCTTGAGAAATCACCAAACGTTTAATTGATAAGTCGGGAGTTAGGAATTTTCAATAACGCCATAGAGTGAGCTACTTGATTTTGGGAGCATACAATTGTTGGTCTAAGGTATTCGAGGGACGAGGAGTACTCCATGTTGGCATGTTTGTCGCTGCGCCGCCTGTTCTTTTACGAGAGAATTACCCTCGGAGAAGTTGCAATAATTTCGAAGGGCGCGCAAGTGTAGGATTTATTATTGGCGTAAGGTGAGGGGTGACACTCGTACCTATCAGGCAGCCTGAATACCGGGAGTGAGCAGAGCCACGCTCGGTGTCCAAATCGGGCAAAGACACTTTTCTATAGCTTCGATCAGGGCGGGATGGGGAAGCGTGACTGCACTTCTATCCCGCCATCTCTCAGCCGCTGGATACGCAGATCAAAGAATCCTACGGCAGCCTGCTTTGCTTTCATCAGCTTGAAGTTACTCAAATACCCCACGACTCAGAGCTGATTCTCATGAGTTGAGGTTAGATAGCGTGACCCTTGTCAGCGCCTCACTCACGGCTCGGTCGTTGCTGTCTGCTTACGGCACTCTCGATCTTTACATTGAGCATACCCAGTTAATCGTCCAAATACATTGGCTCGTGACTCGATTGGTCGACATGGAGAAAGATGGAGGATGGCTTGCCGAAGGCGCCTACGATGACTTTGTCCGGCCCCTGTGTTCCTCAGACCCTCGACTTAGACAGCGCGACCCCAAGGCCCAAATCCAACGCATCCCCTTCACAGATGACGGCGTCCGAGTCGTCAAGCTCAGCCTCGGCGACAACGGCACCTTTATCAGAACAGCACAATTTGAGGAACCAGCCGACCTAGAAACACACCTTCACTACAATACAGCATCACAGCAAGGACAGCAAGGACAGCAAGGACAGCAAAACATTTACATCCTCGAGGGACTCGGCCCTGGATTCGCAGGTGTGTTCGGCCACCACTTCTCGCTGCATCCTTCGGTATTCGTCGAGCATGAGCGCGTGGTCGTGCACAACGTCAACTGGACGGGCGAAAGCGACGGCGCGCAGCTGCCGTCGGTGGTTCGGAGTCGGGACCATGTGGAGATGAAGTACTACGAGGTCGTGACGTTTGATACGCGGCCGACGAGTTTTCGGTGGGTGTGCGCCGCGACGGGGCGGCATATTGGGGTGTCGAGGCAGTTTCGGTGGGATAATTCGCCCGACGACGAGTTTGATCGGTTTTTGAATGTGGGTGTCGTGAGGAGGAAGTGTGGTGTTTGGTCGAGCAGGACTGGGGGTGGTGGTTGGGATTGTGAGTTCTTGCCTGGTCGGATTCTTCAACTTGTACTGACGCTGATCATGAGTAGGCCTTGTGCTCTGTGATCCTCCAGTACGAAGTGTCCGAACAGGGGATGATTACAAAATAGAGCACCCAGTCAAGACCTGGCCCTACCAGGGCGGCTACCTCGACTTCGTCCCAGAAGAATCGCAAATCAGCATCGCTAGGGAAAAGGGGAACGAGCACCACCACTACGGACCCCCGCGAACTTCCATGCTCGACGACCTCGCCTTCTATCTCGAGACACACGCGGGGCTAGTAGATACTGCAGAGCCCGAATCCGTCGTCAACGTCTTTGTGAGCAAGATTGTGGCCTCCCACCTGCTCAAGCAAACGGAACACCTGCGCGCGACGCTCTCGGCTGTACAACGGGGTCTCACGCGCAAGCAGGACCTCGCGAAGCTGCCCATGACCAAGGTCGAAGCGCTCTGGAGCGATATGCAGGGGTGGGAAAGGCGGACGGGGGAGTATCTCGAGGACGTGGAAGGAATCATGCTGCAGCTCGGGATCCCGTTGTCGCCGACACAACCACCGGCGACAGGGTCCACTGCGCCGCCCATTGGTATACCACCGCAGCCGGGGTCGGGCCCGGGACCGAAGACGGGGCCGGAGCGATCCAACGTCACCGCTTGGTCAGACAGCTCAGCAGATTTCCAGTTCCTGCACCTCCGCTTCCGGGAACTACGCCACCGGACTGAAATGCTCAACGCGGCGGTGACG